ATGGATTAACATGATCTTTACAAACCATAGAAACAGATTCCTTCAGCCACTTAATTAAAATTCATTTGCTCTAAACACTTCATTAAAAAAGAAAAGTGGTGATGGCTGAACAGTTAAAAGCGCTTGCTGCTGCTCTTGCAAAGAACCAGAGTTCAGTTCCCAGCACTCACATGGCAGCACACAACTATCTGAAACACAAGTTCTAAGGAATCCAACACCCTCTTCTAGCCTCTGTGGACACTGCACAAATGTGGTACATATACATACATACAGGCAAAACAGTCATACATATAAAATAATCTTAGCTGGATGGTAGTGGTGCACATCTTTAATCCCAGAACTCTGAAAGGCAGAGGCAGGAGGGTATCTGTGAGAAAAAAAAGAAAACAGAAAAAGAAAAAGAAAAAGAAAGGGGATTCAGACAGTGTCACATGTCTAAAATCTCAACATTTACAAAACTGAGGCAGGAGGATCGGAAATTTGAAGCCAACCTGGGGTACACAGTGAGACACCATAGAAAAAACAAAAAACAAAAAACAAAAGAAAGGAGAGAGAGAGAAGACTAAGAGAAGTTTAGAGACTTTAAGTGATTTGTTCAAATAAAAATTAAGTTTTGGGCTGCAGTGATGGCTTGGTGATTAAGAACACATCCTCTTGCAGAGGATGGGAGTTCAGTTCCTAGCACCCAATTGGCAGTTCACAATCGCCTCTAACTCCAGCTCCAAAAGAATCTAATGCTTCTGGCCTCCATGTACACTATGCACATAACCCACCTCTAAAACATACACACACACAACTTAAAATAATAAAAATAAGTCCTTAAGGAAAAAAAAAAAAAAGAACCCAAGTTGTGTGTCTTGTTTTGTAATATGGTCTTATGTTACTCAGGCTCTCCCTGAACTTGCATGTCCTTGAAGCTCTGATGTTCCTGTCTTGAGTTTGTACTGGCACCTAGTTTATGCTGTGCTGGGGATCAAACTTGAAGCCTCAGGTATACTAGGTAGTCATTCTACAAACTGGACTATATTCCACACACAAGAAGTCAAAGTAGGAGCATCAGAGTTTCAAAGCTATCCTTAGCTACTAAATGGCAAGTTCATGGAAAGCCTGGGTAACATGAGATTGTATCACCAGAAAGACAAAACAAAACAAGACCCCAAGTTTAACATCTCCCAGAATAATAAGAATATATATATATCTTAAAATCTTAATGATCATAGAAAAGAATGAGACAGATGTGTTTTTTGTTTTAAGAGACAGTCCCACAGAATCGTCCAGGTAAGGCAGTAATGTAGTATGCACCTCAGATGGCTTGGAACTCTCTCAAAAATCTGTCTCAGTCTCTAGAGTGCTAGGGTTATATGCATGAATCATTCTCTATTTGATGAAATGATTAAAATTTAAGTTACTTTTCCAGTGTTTAATGTATAGAATTATAAGATGCCCTCCACAGGAATTTCTTCCTTTTAGTAGACTACCTTAGAATGACAAGGCAGGCAAATGAAAAGCTATATGACATCACAAAATCTCATTAAATGAATATGAAATTAATTACTTAGTTCTATTATCTATGTTAGTTGCCTACTATGGAATAAACCCCTTAAGTACAGAAATTCCCTATTAATAATATAGTATATATCTGGAAATAAAAGACAGGCCAAGGAGCAAGGAACAAGAATGGAATTTTTTGTTTTTTTGTTTTTTTGAGACAGGGTTTCTCTGTAGCTTTGGAGACTGTCTTGGAAGTCACTCTGTAGATCAGGCTGGCCTCAAACTCACTTCAATCTGCCTGCCCAAGTGCTGGGATTATAGTCATGCGCCACCTCACCTGGATTATATATTGCTTTTTGTCCTACTCCACTTTAGTTCTGTTGGAAAATCCATTTAAAGGAAACTCTACAGCAACATATAGTTCCTTTATAAGTACTGTTTTAATGCTGAAATCAACATGCCATAATGAAGACAAAGAATTATCTTCACAAATAGTTTGAAAATATAAGACACCTAGTCAAAACATATCTATGTTAGCTGACACAATGTTGCCACCTAATATGAAGTAACTGTCATTTAAGTATTTTAGAAATTATGATTTAAAACAATCACCTCTTATTAGTAAAAATCATGCCTGAACTATAAAAAGGTTGGACATGGAAGCCTGGAAAAACTGACATCATAGTAGGTCAAAATTAAAGAAAAAAGGGGAAGGTATAGGGAGATCTGCATAGAGAAAGCAAGAAAGATGTCTTAGTACTTTATAACCCAAATCATACTTTTAAAACAAAAAAATTTTGCAAGTTCCCTACCTTTAACTTGAGAATTATACTAAAAAGGAGCTAGAGGACTATGGTAAAAGAAGCCAACTCATTGAGCAGAGCATATGGCACAAGCATTTTATCCCAGCACTTGGGAGGCCAAGGCAGGCAGATCTCTGAGTTTGAGGCCAACCTGGTCTACAGAGGACTGCCAGGCAAAAAAAAATTGTTTAAAAAAAAAAAAAAAAAAAAAAAAAAAAAAAAAAGGGAAAGAAGTTGTATATGCTTTGGTAAAGTATGTTATAAAGATGAGAGTGCGCTTTGGTGGCATATATAATTCTAGCTACTTGGGAGGCTGAGGCAAGAGGAGCTCAAGTTCAAGGTCTGCCAGGGCTACAGAGGAAATACATGGTTGACCTGAGCACCACATGTCTGCTGGGGCACTTACTTAATGAGACCTTATCTTAAATTTTAAAAAAGTAAGCCTAGGTACATAGTTCAGTGGTAGAGTGATTTTTAGCATTTAAATTAATCCTTAATATTGGTGCAGGAGGAGAGAGGTGAGAATAATAAAATATATTAAAATTTAGTTTTCTGTTTTTAGTTTTCTGTTCTAAAATTTTCTGCAGTAATTAAGGAAACAGCCTAGAATAATATGACACCAAGCATTTTGCATAGAGAGTGGATTAGAGAGGGTGATGGTTAAGAAGAGACTCTTGGACTTGTGAGATAGCTCAGACAGTAAAGATGTCTGCCACCAAGGCTGACAACCCAAAGGTCGACTTCTAGAACCAACATGATGGAATGAGAGAATGTCACCTGCAAATTATCTTCTGACTTCCATAGGTATGCTGCAGTACAATCACTCACACCCTGAGAAAGAGAGCTCTGAGTACATTCTCTCTTCTCTCTCTCTATCCCCACCCCCAATAAAAAGCTGGGTATGGTCCCAGTGCTATGGGAACAGAGACAGGAGGATGCTGGGGGTTGCTAGCTGCCAGTCTAGTTCCTGACTTAGTAAAAGACCCTAGCAAGAAATAAGATGGACAATGATGGAGTGAACACCTGACTTCCTCCCCTGGCCTCTGTACAGACATGCATGCATACAGCACATATATATACCACACACACACACAAAAATAGAGTATGGGGGACACAGAAATGCAACATACTGAGATCTACTGTCATAAATCTCCCAAAAATATTAAATGATACAGCAAACTCTCATGAGTAAGAATGGATGCTAATGTTGACAGATGCCTTAGCAGGTAAAGTCAGCTATGCAATCATGAGGACCAGGACAGAGTTCAGATCAACATATATGCCAGGTTTGTATGGTGTGGCCTGCTTATAATTCTAGCACATAGGAGACTGAGATGGGAAGCCAGCTAGCTAGACTAACCAAATTGGTGAATTTTAGGGTTGAGAGACTCCACCTCAAGATAATAGATGGAGAATGATGGAGGAAGATACCAACATCAATCAACCTCTGGCTTCCATCCACTCCTCACCACACACACACACAGTGGGCTAACAAGATGGCTCAACAGGTAAAAGTGCTTGTCATACAATTCTGATGACCTAGTTCAATCTCTAGATCTCATGACAGAACTGACTCCCAAAAGGTGTCCTCTGACCTCACATGTCTGCTGGGTCACTTACACAATTACATGCACAATAATAATCAATTAAAATTTAAAAATATATTTAAAAAAAAAAAAAGGAATGAAAGCTGGGGTAGTAGGCTAAGACAAGAGTCTGGGTCTACAAAGCATCAGGCCAGCCAGGAAAACACAGCAAAACCCTGTCTCAACAAACCAAAATGAATAATGGCTATCATTACAGTATTTAGTATTAGTAGAAATGATAATAGTGTAATCATATTATACACCTACTTTATCCAATTATTTTCCAACAATGTTTGTTATGAAAATAATTAAAAGGTATTGGTTTATCAAAATAAGTGAAACTACTAAAATTTTCTATATTTTTAGCTATGTATGTTTCCCACATGGCAAGTATTATGACTATTCATTGTATTATTTATAATTTTCCATAGTGTTTCTCTGTGTGACAGCCCTGGCTGTCCGGGAACTCACTCTGTAGACCAGGCTGGCCTCAACTCCCAGAGATCCGCCTGCCTTTGCCTCCCAAGTGCTGGGATTAAAGGCGTGCGCCACCACCTCCTGGCTTATAATTTTCCAAAGCTTTAAGCATTATAATACATATGAACTTGCCCCTTAATTGGATATTATGAAAAGCCAAATACAAAAGGACAAGAAAAATAGCATATGGTATTGTTGTTAGGAGGATGGTTAACAGTATCAGCTTTTGTCTCCTTGTGTGATACTGGGAGCTGGATCTGGGGCCTTATCTAGGTTAAATGGGGTTAGGATGAGAAATGAATAACTAGGAAAAGAAACCGTATTTTCTATTAAACATTTTCAAATGCTTGGCTTATTCAATGGAATCTTTGTGTGTGTGTGTGGGGTGGAGGTCACATGCACACATGAGGTTTGAGGACAACTTTTGAGAGTTGGTTATCTTTTTTTCCTACCAGGTGAGTTCTGGGAATCAATCAAAGTTGTCAAGTCTTTACAGCAAGGCCTTTGCACAGCGTGCCAAACTACCAATTGTTATTTTATTTAAAATGTACAAACTATTGATCATTACCAATGTTTCCTAAAAGGTAGCTATGAATAAATATCAGCATTTATGCACAAATATTTGAAATTTAAAATATCTTACTAAATGTGCCCCTGCTTGAAGTAAAACATCTGCAACATCTGTATGTCCATTTTCACAAGCATAGGTTAAAGCTGTGTCTCCTGTTGCTGTGGTAGCATGCACATTAGCACCTAGAAAAAAAAATAAAAATAAAAATCACACATTTACCCTGGAGTTGTGGAATTATATAGGTCTAATTTTACAATATGGTGAAACTGAAGAATTCAAAATGAGAAAATACCACCAAAAATACAGTTGAGTATTCATATTTTCCCTTCATCAATTTCTTTTAACTAAACTTCATAAAAATGTGTTCTGCCTCACAACAAAGCAATTACTTTAAAGCAGAAAAATTTGCCTGTACATTGGACAGAACATAAGTAATAGATACAAAAACAAAAAATTTAAACAGTACATATTCATACTGATATCAATATTGGTTTGTATTCTAAAACAGCTCTATGGATATTATGGTACAAATTATTTGGTAAGAATGGAAATTTTTCTCGTTGTTAAGAGAAAACACATTAACTATAATAAAACTTTGTGGTTTTAAATTCGAAGGACAAACAATGAATGTATGACATATTTTTTAAATGTTTAAGAAAATATATATTTCCTAACCAGACCAACTAAAAAGTCCTAGAGCCCAAAGGACCCTAAAAATAAAAGCTGATAAAATAGCTCTGCAGGCTAACAGTGCACCCAAGTCTGACAACATGTGTTTGATATGTGGAGCCCACAAAAAAGGTAGAAGAGCGAAGAAAACTGACTTCAACTAAGTTGTCCTCTGACCTCCACATGCACACTGTGGTATACTTGTGGCCATGCACATATACACACATACACACAAATACAGGAATATGCACACAGATAGTAATTTTAAGAAACATCAAAGAGGCAGAGCAGTGGTGGTACACACCTTTAGTCCTAGCACTTGGGAGGCAGAAGCAGGCAATCTCTGTGAGTTTTGAGGCCAGCCTGGTCTACAAAGCAAGTTCCAGGACAGCCAGGACTATTACACAGAGAAACCCTGTCTCAGGGAAGAAACACACACACACACACACACACACACACACACACACACACAGCAAAATAAGTCAAGTGTAATCACAGAAATGCAATATACTGGGAAGCTGAAAGGATAAACTCACTGTTTATTCAACAATGACATAAAAATCACAAGGAAAAAGTAGGAGAAATTATAGAGAACCTGCAGATTAAAAATTTTTATGCATGGTAGTGCATACTGGAGGCAGAGACAGGCAGATTTCTGTGAATTTGAGGCCAGCAAGGG